TTTCCCACTGCTGCCCTTTTGAATATATGTGGAATAAAACTTTCTTTTGCTTTACTAAACTTTATGATGTTTTTCCCCTACAACACCTCCACCCCAGCAACAGAAATCTTTAATTAGACTCTTTTTCCCACTGTTCAACTTTCAAGTAGGAATACATCAAGGTTCAGCTAGGCTTGATATTTGTCCTGAACCTGTTATTCATCTTGGACCACAGCTTTAGCCTTTGGAAGGCTGAATAGCCAAATGCGTATTTCAACATTATTCCTGGCATCCTTAAACTTGGTTGTGATCAAGAACATGTGAAAGTATTAATGTAACTGATGTCAGTAAATTGTACATGGAAAAAATGTTAAATTGGCAAATGTTCTGTTATATATATTTTTACAACAACAACAAAAAGATCATGTGAAAGAATGAAGGAAAATCTTCAGTAATGAGAACAAGACACGTCATTTGGATTTATTGTTAATATCTGAATAGTCACTTTCAAACGTTGGTGAGCTTCTAGATGTAATTTGTAGTGAAATTCTCCTTAAATACTTTCAAAATATTGAAATTCTTTCAGTCAGTGGAAGTAAAATACATATTTATTATTTTAAGAAAAATTATAATAATAATTGTGAAAACATAATTTATGTACAAAATTATCAAGAATTTTCAAGTAGTTAAAAAAAAAAACAGGGAAGTTAGTTGACAGGTAATATGAATAATTGGAGAGAGTGCATTAGCCTAGATAACTTTAGGAAGAACTTTATATACTTTTTGAGCCAAAAGTATTTATAACAATTTAATAAATAATCCAAGTACTATTTATTTTAATAAATAGTAGTACAAGGCAGACCAATAGAATTAAATTGCAGCATAATTGTAGTCTTTGTAAAATTGCTACATTAGCATTTATAATGTTAAAATAATCCTTAAAAGCTATACTTTTTAAAAAAATTTTTTTATTGTACTTTAGATGAACATTTACAGAACAAATAGTTTCTCATTAAACAGTACACAACCCCACGACATGTCAACTCTCCCTTCTTGACCTTGGGTTCCCTATTACCAGCTTTTCTGTCCCTTTTTGCCTTCTAGTCCTTGTCCCTGGGCTGTTGAGCCCTATTAGTCTCGTTTTGTTTTTTGGGGTTAACTTATTGGCCCCACATTCTGCTTGAAGTGTTTGATATTCTCTTTCTTTTGATCCTCCCTCCCCTATCATCTCCCCTCAGCATCCCACCACGCCCAGTCAACATATCGGGATTCTGTCTGCAGACTTGTCCTCTAGCCCACTCATGTCACTCTAGCAGAAGAAATCTCCCAAGTAGACTTGAGTTGGATGTTTGCCTTGGTCTGTCTTTTTGCCAAAAGTGGATGTGTCTGGACAGGGATATTGTTATTACTACCACCACTACTACTAGTGGTTAGCATTACTGAGTGCCTACTGGGGCCTGATACTGGCTAGAACCTCCTGGAGGTCATATTTCATTCTTACAGAAATCTTGTTTGGTAGGTAGTATTACTCCCATTTTGCTTTATGGAACAGAGCTGCAGAGAGGTTCAGTAATTTGCTCGAGGCCATGCAGCTATGCTGGGCCAGGACTTACACCCAGTTCTATCTGGCTCCAAAGCCTACTCTGATTCAGTTAGGAGTAGAGTAGTACCAGAGTCAGTAGGGAGGGATGTATAAATCCATTGCCTTCCAGTCAATTCTGACTCATAGTGACCCTACAGGACAGAGTAGAACTGCCCCATAGGGTTTACAAGGGTGTGATCTTTATGGAAGCAGACTGCCACATCCTTCTCCTGCAGAGTGGTTGGTGAGTTGGAACTGCCTACCTTTCATTTAGCAGCCAAGCGCTTAACCACTGGGCAACTAGGGCTCCTTGGAGGGATGTATACCAAAACCAAAACCAAACCCATTGCTGTTGAGTCAATTCTGATTCATAATGACCCTATAGAACTGAATAGAACTAACCCACAGAGTTTCCAAGGAGTGGCTGGTGGATTTGAACTGCTGACCTTTTGGTTAGCAGCTGGACACTTAACCACTGCACCACCAGGGCTCCAGTGACAGGATGTATAGGAGGGTAGAATCACCCGGAGGGCTGGAAGGTAGTCTAGTGCTGAAATAATGTGAGCCTGGAGCTTAGTGCAGTTTGTCTGGGTCTGAGATAAGGGAAGAGGAGGGGCTGGTGATGGTCAGGGCTACAGGCAACGCCAGAGGGGGTATCAGAACTGAGCCACCATAAAGCCATAGCCTCTCCAGCTCCGATAGCTAGAGAGGGAGCCTGCAGCCCAGTGGGACAGAGAGATGGCATCTTCACTTCCCAACCCCTCCAGCCTGGGCAGGCTGCCAGAGTAGAGAGCCAGGGAAACACCAGGGCAAAGGAGATCATTATCGGGAGGAAGGAAGCTCTGGCAGCTCCCACCAGCCTGTTTGTGACACGCAGGCTCTGGGCCACGGAAGTCCTTTGAGGTCAAGGGAAATGTCATCCCAGGACACTCCCCTTACCCTGTGCTTTCAAGCCAAAGGGATCTAGCTAGAGAAGGCCCAGGACCCAGATTGGAAAAGCATTGGGCTGGGGTGTGGGGGCAGTTAGAGAGGGAGAAAGAGAATGAATTAAAATCCCAGGAGTGCCTCATGAACAGTCTCTTGGCTAGAGAGGTAATGATGTTTATTGAAGCCAACACAGGGTGACTGGCTCTTCAGAGCTCCCAGGGAACATTTCTTCACAGCTGAACTCTCACCTAGTTCTCCTCTTGTCCCTGGAGAGGTCTTTCCTTTTTTGTCCAACTGGTATAGTAGAGGAGACCGGGTGGTGCAGTGGTTAAGAGCTCAGCTGCTAACCAAAAGGTCGCAGTTCAAATCCACCAGGCACTCCTTGAAAACCCTACAGGGCAGTTCTACTGTGTCCTATAGGGTTGTTATGAGTTGAAATGGACTCAACGGCAATGGGTTTGTTGTGTTTTTTTTTTTTTTTGGTATAGTAGAAAGTGCACTGTGTTCAGAGTAAGGAGACTCAAGTACAAGCCCAGGTTCTACGCTAAACAATTAGACAGCTCTTTAATTAATTAAGCTTTCGGAATCTCAATTTCCTCATCCTTACAGAAAGCGAGTAGTCTCTGTCAAATTTTTATCTCACAAGGGATTAGAGGATTCCTATGGATACACATTGAAAAGCATGAAGTGTCATCTAAATAGTAAATGGTATTTCTTTATCTTCTTCTTTCCTTCCTGCTGTCTCTCTTTTCACAGGTCACTTCACTACCATGTCAGACTTGGGAAGATTCCTAGTTTAAGAGCAGGAACAGCTCTGTCCATAAATCCCACACACCCTTCTTCCATTTATTTCCTCCCCTTGTCATGCTGCCATGATAAGATGGGAGAGGGCAGAGGAGAGAGGTACAAAGACATAGGCCAGGGAACCCACCCCTGGCTTCCCTTGGGGATAAGCTTCTGGAAAACAGCAACAAAAATAGGAAAGACCATCTCTTCTGGAGCTTATCTCACAAAGTTGTCAGCCTCAGATCCTCCTCAGCTTCCCAGAAGACCCTGAGCCCTGAAAGGACCCTAAGAGACGAGGGGAAGAGAATGTTCTGAATATGGCAAGAGTGGTGCAGAGGCTTGGAGAAGGAATAAAGGCACAGCCAAGGAGTGAAGAGAACTGGAAGCCTAAAGGACTTTGTCCAAGTGCACAGGAACCAGCTGGAATTGCCCAGAGTCCTTTTCTGGGGAGGGTCACAGGCCACAATGTAGGGTGCGTTCATGCTTTGCTCTTTGTACTTGCAGTTGGGGTACTTCACAGCAGTGTGCTCACAGAGGGTCAGGGACACAGGCCCTTGGCTCTGGTAGCAGTTTTTAAGGCCGTTCTTGCAGGCTATGATGGGAGTCTTGCAGGTGGTGGCCACATTGGAGAAGGAATCATGCAAGAAGGTGTTGTGTTCTTTGCAAAGTTTTTTGTCCTTGTTGATACTGCCTATCGCAGGTTTGCATCCTTGAGGGTGAGGCTGCACGTGCTGAATTTCAAACCACTGAGCTGGAGTCTTGTCCTTTGGTTTGGCACTGACTGGGACCTTGGCTACCCACAGCCCCAGCAGCAGGAGCAGCAGGGGCCAGTATTCTGCTCTGGCTGGTGTCATCTCTCTTAGGAGGGACAGTCAGAATGGAGGGTTAGTGTCACTGGGGAGAGAGAGCAGGCAGTGTTCAGTTGAGAAATGAGGGTCCCTGGGTGGCACAAATTCTACTAACCTAAAGGTTGGCAGTTTGAACTTCACCTAGCAGCATTGCAAAAGAAAAGGCTGGTGGTCTGCTTCCATAAAGATTATAGCCAAGAAAGCCCTATGGAGCAATTTTACTGTGTAATACATGGGGTTGCCATGAGTTGGAATTGACTCAACAACGAGTTATATCAGCTAATAACCATATCCCTACCCTATTGTCACTTTTCCTTGCCCTAAGTCTCATCCCTTCTCCCTCTGGATACCCACACCCACCTTGACCCCCATCCCCTAACTCTGTGACCCATTCCCCCTCACCCGGTATCCCTATCTTCCTTCATTCTGTCCCTATTGCATCTTTCTGTTCTATCTCCTCCCCTTCACATCTCCATCCCCTTTGCATTCTCATGCCCCTATGCCTTTATCCTACTTCTTTGTGTCTCATCCCCTCCATGTCCCCATGCCCACCTCCCCCATGTCCTCATTTTTTTTCCATTTTGTGCTTCCATCCCCCAACATCACTCTCCTTTCTCCCCTATGTGTATCTTCATCCCCTCCAAGTTGAGTCCCTCCTTTATCCATCTTATCACTCACCTGAGTGTAACCTTAGTCTGGCCAGAGTTTATCCCTTCTCTATCCTGTCTCCTTACCCATCTCTTATCCCAGGTCTCACCTCCTCACTGAGTCCTTATGTTTCGGCTCTTGCTCCTGTTCAATGGGCTGAGGAGGCATCCACCCACTGCTGGGATGTCGGATCTCTGAGGGTCTCTTCACATGCCTAACTCCTTCAGAGACTGCCTGGGCTATGTGGCTTCTGTTTGGGGGCAGGCCCAAGGCTTTTGAGCAGTCCCTGGATCAGGAAATGAATCAGGTTCGCACCTCTCCACTTACGTATCCCAAATAAGTGGATATCTATGAAGCTAGTGTACCTGTCTAAATGTGTTCAGCAATGAGTAAGCTTGAATCCTAACATTCAAAGACTATATTTGGCACCTGGCCACATGGTTTTAATGACTTTTTAATAAAGCACCTGACCCAGCTGTCAACCCAAAATGAATTTCAGAGAGCGTTGTCATTTATCTCTACCTTCGGTCCACGATCCTGGGAAAAGCCAATCACTGTGGTTTTAAGGATTGCTTTTTATCTGATCTGATGTACAGGTAGAATAGCCTAGAAAGTTGGTTGGAATGGTTTCTTGTCATGGGGAGATACTGCTTATCTTACAGACGAGATGGAGGAGACGAGAGGTGGATGAATCATCACAGTCACGATGCTCAGCACCATTTCTAGCAGCTCAGCTATTCCACAATGATTCATTCCTCTGGGACTCTCCAGTTCCAGGTGCCAACCAAGGCCACCTGGCTTTACCTTGAGAAAGCACCTAGCCCTCTCATCCTTCACTCTCCTTATTAAAAGTTGCAAAACTTAAACATTGTTCAAATGTTTGTGTTTGAAAATGCTGCTGCTGCTGTTGCTCTCAACATCTTGCCTTAGCCCTTCCTACACCTTGCATGTCCTGCTCCTCATGGTGGGTATAGCTATGTGGTGAGCTTGGGTTAGTGCTGCTCTGGGAACTCCAATGAGTTTGGAATATGGCACTCAGGAGAACTGAGATGCTGAAGCAAAGAAGCAGCACCATCTGTGGGTAGGAAGGCTTAGGAAATGGAATGACCAGTATTTTTGCTTTCAAAATTCACCTGTAAGTAGTAGGTGATCATAGAATCTTGGGTTCAGGTTCATTAATGTAGTTGAAAAATATTTATTGAGTACCTACTATGTGCCAAGGTGCTTGGAATGTATTAGTGAACAAAAGAAACAAAAATTCCTACTTTGTGGAGCTTACATTCCAGTGGCAAGAGACACTAAAAAACATTTAATGAGAAACTAATTTGCTCTATAAACCTTCATCTAAAGCACAATTAAAAAAAAAGAGAGTAAAAAATAAATATCATATGTAAGTTACACACTTTGCTCAAAGTGATAACTGCTAAGAGAAAAGTAGAATAGGGTGGAGGTGTGTGGGTAGTGATTTTAAATAGGGTCATTGGAGTAGGTGACTCTGGGGCAAAGACTTGGTGAGAGAGTGAACTTGTGCTTGCTGCGAGGAAGAATGTTCCATGTAGAAAAACCAGCACTGCAAAAGTCCTAAAGCAGAATGGTGCCTCATGTGTTTGAGGAACAGAAAGGAGACTTGTGTGGCTGGGGCAGGTGAATGAGGGGATCAGAGGGACCAGAGGCCAGATCATGGAAAGCCTTAGATACTGTGGCTTTTATTCTAAGCACAATGGGGAACCCTGGGACGATTCTGATCTAAGGGGCACCTGGCTGTTGTGTGGAGCCCTGGTTAAGAGCTATGGCTGCTAACCAAATGGTCAGCATTTTGAATCCACACGGCAAGAGTTTTGGTTTTTTTTTGTTTCTGTTTTTGGCTGTTGTGTGGTAAACCATCTCAACCATATGGTTCGTGCTACAGTCCAGAAGGTAGGATTTAGAGTCAGGAAGACAGTGTGTTTGTTTTAAGGCCAGAAGGACATCACAGCCAGAGAGTCACAGCTGTGGGTCAGGATGAAGAGTCTGCGGGAAGAAAAAAAGAAGGCGTTGGATATGGGAAACACCACTAGATGGCAAAAGAGGATCAGGAACAAGGACAAACAAATTTCTGACTGGCCTAGGCGAGGCTTTGGTTGAGGGGACAGTCATTCATTGCTTTCTTAAGGTGCCTGAATCTTTTCAGACTGAACTTCTGGATAGAGAATTATGCCCCTGCTGCTGTAGAAATGCAAATGTTTTGGAGGTAAAATCCATGGTTCAAAGCAGACTGTGGATGGAATATGTATCAGCTTGGGCCTGTGCGTCTTTGGTGTGGAGGCTGGGATAGGGAGGAAGAAGTGGAAGGAGGAGGGTAAAAGGAGGATTGAGCACTCATTTGAATTCCTAGCCTGGACTGTTTCTCACTTCCCATTATTCTAAAGAGAGATGTTTCCAAACCACGCTTTGAACTGCCCTCTGCTCTTGTGTTTTCCTGTCTTATAATTATCCTAGTTTGCTCTTCAACTCCATTATGTCGAGTTCTGCAGAAGGCTGCCTTAGTACTAGGTGAAAGTAAAACAAACACAGCCCTACTGCCTCAGGTGATAGAGAAAAGGAAGTAAAGGTTTAGGTTTGCATGCGAAAATTGAAGAGGTGAGCTCACCATAGGCACTTCAAGCTGAAGCTCCCACTTCACTTCAATTGCCTGGATAAGGGAGGCAGTTTTATTGTACTCATTTATTTATTTGCTTGCTGTAGAGCAAGATTACTGAGTCTGTTTAAAGTAAAAGGAAAAGAGATTTATTGAGGAACAGAGCGATTCTGGAACCTGGGTAGCGCAGAGCAACCAGGTAGTTACAAAGTGCTCCGTTTTGCCGGAGCTGAGAAGAGATATTTATAGTCGAAAAGCAGGAACTTTTCAGCAAGACAGTCTATAGTCCAGATAGCCTAAGGTATGAGACCTCCTGAATGACCAAAAGCAGAAGAAAAACATTCAGTTAAGAGTTGCAACAGAAACATGATTAGCAAGATAATACAGTACAGACCCTTCCTGTTGGGGGTCTTCAATTAATCTGCTTCAAACTTACTAAGTGTTCTTCTCCAGGGCAAGCTGCCCCCTCCCTTGTTTACCCACCAATAGTCATAGGTCACTTTCTCAGAAACAGAAGTTGAGCCTAAGACAAAATGGAATTAGAGCCAGACCTTGTGTCAGCTGTTTTAGATAGGCCAAGTGCCTCAGTTTTAGGGTGCCCTCATACATGCTTAAACTATCCAGCTTCACTTTGCACTTGGTCAGATAATTTTGCCATTTTCCTGCAGTCATGGGGCAAGAGGAAAAGATGAAGGAAGGGGGACAAGGCAAGGGAGAACAAAAGGAGTCAGGTATCAGGCCAAAGACTGGTCAGAGTGTCTGGCAGAAGGGAGAGGAGAAAAATCAGAGGGAGAGCAGAAGATAAACCGGTAGGAGAGAAGATGAGAGGAAAGGCTCTCACACAAGCAACTTCTATCCAGAGGTATGAAGTAGCTACTCCAGCCTCCTTCTCACTGTATTGCCATAGTCAT